GTAATCATCAATTAACCTCTGCTTTTCCGAACAAAATCAAAAAATCACTCAGGGTTATACAAATTGTTGGCTATTTAACATTTAAATTATTTGGGGAAGCAACGATTTAATTAAATATGTAACTCATAGAAGAATTCATCTCGGCTATAATGTTTATTTAATCGATATAAATGTGAACCGCCGAGTCGATATAGTATTGGCAAAACCGTACCAAGTATAACTACTTTACCGCTATGAAAACAGTGGGTGACAAATAAAGCTTAGATTTAGATGCAATACTTACCCATGTGTCATGAGTTATTACTTTTATACCCTGAACCCATTAAAAGGGTATAAGGGTATATTGTACGATGTCTTCTGTACTCGTTCAGTCGGTCATGAACGATACATTCTTGATTCTCGTACAGTCGGTCATGAACGTTGTATGCAACTAAGCAGTTCAGCCATTCCTGAACGATACATTCATCGTTCATGACCGACTGAATAGCTAAACGAGTGAACTAAATGAGTGATTTAGTTCACGCCCAGAAAATGAACGAGTGAACTTATTCAGCAAATTGAACTTGAAACCTCCACTCTAGTTTGTATGTTGTGTGCTACTTTCTGCCTGCAGACCTGGACACACTGCACGTTGCATACTTTTGGGCGAAGTCAGCCGCAAAGTCGATTCCTTTATCAACATACGCTGTCTTCCGGTTTGGAGCAATCTCGAGGCGGATATATTAAACTTATTTTTACAGCAACTCTCTGGTGAGTCAACGTTGCTCACTCACTCGCATTTCAGCGAGTTCATTACTTCATATATTTGCTTGTATGACTAGTAGCTGCGCTTTGCTCCGCATCACTTCCGGCTTGTGGCGCAGATTCAGTGGGCGCGATAAACCTGCCACCGCGGGCTCTTCTCAACACTGCCAGACAGAATACACAGCTTAGTAAAGTGTGTGGTGCGGAGTGGTAAGCTTAATATTTCTGAACTTTAGGCGGTCGCCACTTCCGCACTTGTTTTTTAAGAAAATACATATGCACACACCCACATATATACACCCACATGTAAAGACATTTAAGCCTTTCATTCTTATTGTACAAATTTAAATATTTATTTTAAACGTTGGTTTATTTTTCACTTTGCCTGCCAGCAATGCCAAACACAGCTGACCGTGTGTGTTTTTGTGAGGGTTTGCAAGTGTGTGCTTGCATTAGTATAAGAACATGCACACCTGCACAGTTTTTATACCCTGAACCAATTGAAAATGGGTAAAAGGTAATAATGTTTTTATGCAAATGTATGTAACAGGCAGAAGGAATCATCTCCGACCCCATAAAGTATATATATTCTTGATCAGTATGAACAGCCGAGTCGATCAAGCCGTGTCCGTCCGTCCATCCGTCTGTCCGTATGTATGAACACTAGGATCTTAAGAACCTATAAGAGCTAGAGACTTGAAAGCTGTTGGTCCCCTAGTGCCCGTGCATATCGAGTTTGTTTCCGATAATCGATAACTTGAACCGTTTCCAAGTAATCGATAAAAATCGAAATCGAAATCCTGTTTTTTCGGCAATTTTGGTAAATAATAAGAGCTAGAGTCCCCAAACTTGATATGTTGCTTATAGAATAGTATACATATATCAAGTATCTTTCATTTTATAGCTATCGCCACCTCCCCGCTACCACCACAAAGCAATAAATCAAGTTAATAAACCAACTTGCATTTCCCACCAATTTAAGCCACAATTTAAATGCAATTGACTTTTTGAGATTACATGAATATTTTATATTACAATAAGATGTACTGCTTCAAATGTCAATTGCTAAGCAAAGTAAAAAAAAAATGAGCTGTAATTAAAAGAATTTCAACACCCAAAAAAAAAAAATTTTAAAAAAATTCATCTTCTCGGTTAAGAACCACAAAAGAAAATGTGTAAATGTTTCTCGAAAATTCCAAGAATTTCTGTGTGCATGTACACGCACACATTTATGCGTGTCTGCTTCGAATTCTATCAACAGCATTGCAATTGCGATTTAATTGTTTTCTGTGGTGCTACTTTAATTCGTTTTTTTTTTTCTCAATAAGATCAGTAATTGGTGTGTCTATTGGGTTAGGGGCGGCAATAAGTAGCGCAGTCTGTTGCGAGCTCGAACCCTACCGATGAAAGTATTTGTTCTTTTATGGCTGGTGTGGCTGTTGTGTTTAGGCGGCAACAAAATATGCGGTCAGCAACTTTTTTTTTGTATTTAATATTTATTACCACTAAAGCAAAAGAGCGCGAGCTGAATTTGGTGTTGGAATAAAAGGGTTCAGGGTATCCGCTAGTCGGGACCTCTCAACCAGAACCACTTATTTGTTCTAACACTGTTCTAACATCTTGTTCCCCTACATTTTAATGTTTAACAAACTTTAATGGTGTGTTTCAAGGCACCCAAAAGGCACAAAATAGTGCAGAGCACATACAGATATATAAGCTTGTCTTTTCATTTATTTTTTGTAAAAACGATGTGGAAATTATTTTAAATTCTTAAAGGGGGGTTTTTACGTTTGCTGGCATATTGAGGAAAATGTTTAAATTCTTTAATTTGTATTACACGGAGACTTGTTTTCCACTTTTGTTTGTTCATAGTTGTTCATTGTTATATAGACCACGGTCATTTAATTTATTGTTTTTATAAAATACAGTTCCATTACAAAAGCTTAAAATTTGGATTCAAAAATTTGATGTCAATGCTCACATCAATTAAAGAGAATTATAAGATTGATAAGCTGACAAGGTTTGTCCAGAATATATGCAGTATTTTATGAATAATAACAATTAAATAAGTAGAATTAACTCTTGTATTCAATTGTTTTACTGTATTGCATCATGGAAATTATAGCTTGCGTAAATAGACATACTAGCGGATATAGCCTTGCAGGTAAAACGTTTTTTGCTAAAACTATGGAAAATTGAAATCTACCCATCCTGATCTCCACTTCTATTTAAAAATATTTTTTAAGTACTTAGAATAGAGAACCGAGTGTTGGATTTAACAGTTTCCGCTTATGTAAGAAGCTAACGGATAAACATTTGATTATTAAACCTTTGACCATCATTTGCCGCATTTGAACGTATCTAATAAATTCTCACAAATATCTTTAAAAATGATTTTGACAGTTATCGGATGCTAAGCAAAAAACTTTCATACAACTGATTTTCGCTAGTCAACCACTGTTGTGGTGGGAATGTCGCAAATCGCGGAACCACGTGCGCATTAAGTTCTTATGTAGAGCTTTGAAAATAAGTTTTAAGCATATGCATGGATTATAAGGTAAACATAAAAGTACCATATAAACGTTTTTCGCGTTTTTCCACACATGCGGGTTGAATTTCCCGGAACCCCGTCAATGCATGCTCCTTCATCACATAAATTAACTACAGTGAACATTTCAGCTTTCTATCTCTTATGGTATGGGCTTTGCGTTGATCACCAATCAGTCAGTCAGTCAGGACATGTGCGTGGCAGCAGCAAATTGATAGTCAATAACTATCACTTATAAATTTTCAATTATAAATTGATATTTTCATCTAGAAAACTTTATACAGCAAATAATTCAAATGTGGAAATTTGATGCTCACATAGGGAACTCGTAATGTAATTAAAATTATTAAAAAAACGAGAAAGAAAGAAGATCTAATACCCTTGCAGACCCATAATGCTTATAGTGCTTTGTCCGTATCTAAGAAGCACAGGGAAAATAGTTAATGACGAGTTTGGGCAAGATATCTTGAAAAACAAAATGTTTTGTTAAACAACTGCTATGCTATATGATATAGTGGTACGATCTTAATAGGATTTTGCATATATATGAGGAGTAAAGTAAAACCTATAAATGCCGAGTTTGGTCAAGATATCTTGATAAACAATATGTTTTTTCATACAAAAACTTAATTTTCGACCGATCGTTCCTATGGCAGCTATATAATATAGTGGTCCGATTCAGCTGGTTTTCACATATGTGCTGCGTGCAGCAGAAAGACGGACTTCTGCAAAATTTCATTAAGATAGCTTTAAAACTGAGAGACTAGTTCGCATAGAAACGGACAGACGGAAAGACGGACAGACGGACAGAAGGACATGGCTATATCGACTCGGCTGTTGATGCTGATCAAGAATATATATACTTTATGGGGTCGGAGATGTCTCCTTCTATGCGTTACATGTCACGACAAAATTATAATACCCTCTGCAAGGGTATAAAAAGATTCACTCTTAACACCGAATTGACAAAAGAAAAGCGAAGGCACATACATCAGTAATGTGTAAAAACTCTCTACTATTAAGGTATTAATTATCTTTAAGTTCTGTTTTTATTCTATGAGGCATTAGTTATGTAAATTTCAAAAATGTATGTATAGAACTAATATTATTCTTTTATGAGTACAGATTATCCAATATATGTGTAATCAGCTGTTTTAGTTTCTTCAATTAAATACAATTAAAAAATATGTTTATATTATCATCAAAAGTTTATAATATTTTGTTGGTTAATTTTATATCTTCTAATTATTTCAAATCTGATTTATCCTTAAAGCATTTGGGATAAATAGACATTCAGGTTTAATTAATCGACATATAAGAATTTTTTGAAATTTAACTTTCATGCAATTCTCTATCTAAACTTCGAATAACTTAACTTTTTTGATAAAGTTCACTTAACATACAGAAAACTTTTTAAGAAAACGATTTTCATTTACGCAATTTGTATCCATTTAGAAATAAGAGAATTAATATAAAATTATTTGCTTTACTTTTATTAAAAGCAAACAATTAAAATAAACTATTAAAATAATATTCAAAGCCTGTATTTTCACAATTTTTTTAAGACGCGTTTTCATTCCTATAAGTACGAAACGTGTTAAATGGAAAAGCTTCTCTGTCTAATATAGTACAGAGCGCTTTTGAGTTTGTTCCAGTTCCGTTTTTCGATGCAACTCTGTTTATCTAGAAGAAGAAACAGATTCACTGAGAATTAAGTCTTGCTATTGAATAGTGCATCTATTGCATGCATTTAAAAAAGGTTAAATCGAAATCAATTCTAATGAAGAAATAATAAATACGAGACTAACAGCATGCAAATTAATGTGTTCTCCAACTTTTATAGTTTTCTTACCGTAGGTTTGGCTGGGAACAAGAAGGCGATACTTCGGCTGTCAAAGGGTATGTTGAATTTAAATAGAATATTTTAAGTTCATCAAATTATAATTGCATTCTGATTTCATTGTTGTTCGTAAAAGTATCCCAGCTCGTTAAAGTCCTGCTCGCCTTCTCAGCTTCCTCCAAAATATTGTGATAGTTATAATAACAACATGAGTAAGTCTCCAGCAAAGGATCCTGAAGAGGGATCCTCTAGCAGTGGCGACGAAAATAGCAGCGGCAGCGACAGCAGCAGCAGTGGCAGTGGCAGTCGCAGCGGCAGTCGCAGCAGCAGCTACAGCGATGGTAGCCGCAAGATTTTCTTGGTCCAGGCCAAGCCAGCTTACCCTGAGAAGCTGGAAAATGCTGATGCCAATTGTAATGCCTTGGTCCAGCCAGTAGCCGCCGAGCCGGACGATCGTGAGGCGAAACTTGAAGAGATGGTTGAGCAGGTTGAAAAGTATTGCAAGGATAAGTATCAGAGTAGACTGTCCGCAGAGTTCAAGACTGAGCTACCAACAATTGATGGTAATTTGGTAAGTGATCTCGACCGGGTATTGCGTATGCCACATTTTATGCCCGTCGAGCCGAAAGCCTACGAGGCGCATACCTTTCAGGACGCTCTGCGCCCAGAAGATCTCAACGACCGGGAGGCTCGTGACGCATTTATTACCAAACTGATGACCACTGTGCGCTGGCGCGAGTGCCAGGATAAGACAACCGGCGCGCTCTACAAGGAGTCCAACGCGCGCATCGTGCGCTGGTCCGATGGCTCGGAAACCTTTCACGTTGGCGGCGAGGCTTTCGATGTTGTGAACCATCCCATGCCCGCAGGGCAGAATCAGCTATATGTGCGCCAGGGCAGTTACTATCATATGCAGGGCCCCATCAAGGATAAGCTGTCGCTGCGGCCCAAACTGGAGTCAAGCTTTGGCCAAAGTCATGTGCAGGGTTTGCGCAAACTTGCATTCTATAAGCCAGTCAATAGCTGTGTAAAGGTACTCATGGATCTTAGCACCAATCCAGCGCTCGATCGCGAGCGCAAAGTCAAGGAGGAGCAGGCTCAGGAACGCAAAGAGAAATCAGACAAGCGTCGCGAGCAAAAGAATCAACGCAAGCCCAGGGTGAAGCCCATGCGGCACTGCACGGCTGATGATACCGATATGGAGACATCTCTACAGACAAATGAAACCGAAGGCGATCGTAATCTCGATGAACAGGATGACAATCCGAATCCTGTGGCTGTGCTGCCTGAAGTCAAACGTGCTCCAGGCATACGCACGAATCGCAACACAGACATTAAGCCAACAAAGTACGAAGATGGAAGCGACGACGATGATGAGGATGAGGAGGATCAGAATAATCCGGCAAAAAAAGGAGAATCTGTAGAACAAGCGAAATTAAAACCCGAGTCCAATACGAAATCGTTTGCAAAACAACTCAAACCCAAACTTAAGCGCAAACAAGCAATCCTTAGTGATTCCGAATAAATTTAACACAATTCCCAATATTCAAATGCGGTTTCAGTAATTACAATTGCATTTTAGGCACTGCAGTCGGAGCAGGCTCTTCCTTCTGCTGTTTATTTATAAACCTGACTAGCACTTGCTGCAAACGTTCCTTGCGTTTTGTCACCTTTGCCTTAATTAGTAGGTCGCTACAGGCATATTTGTAATAATGCAACTAGTATATATTAGGTGCAACATCACCCTTTTGTCCGGCAAATGATGTCAGATATGCAACACTGCCACACCTCAAAGCTGTTAATCTCTGGGGAAGGCAATAAGTGCCAGGTTTGGGAATGCTCAACGGAAGTCTACCCTCAGTTACTTATCTGCATATAGTTTGGCAAATATAAGTACATATATATTAAATATTGTTATAAATCTTTCCAGAGAAAATGTAACTTACACGTAATTTCCTCGTATTTTGATTCATTATTAAAAAGCAAATATATTTATATGTAAAATTGGACATAATTTAATTCTAAATTATTTTCTTGTTCTTTATCCAATATTGTGTCTATGAGTCTAAATCATTATATTCTCAACCAAAATAACCAAGCTTTAAATCTAACAGATAATATTGTAGCACTAAGGTCTAAAAGAGTGCATATTCTCGATCTCCCAGATAGATAAATAAGTAGAACAACTTTACATACAAATTAACTAAAATATAATAGTAGGTTTCACTGGGTTCCTTTTAATTTTAAGCATAGCTAACTAAATTTTCTTATTGTCTTAAGACAGAGTGAATATAAATAAAATGTAAAAAAAAAAAATATTCTATGATTTTATTTTTTATTTTTATTATTATTATTATTATTATTATTATTATTATTATTATTATTATTATTATTATTATTATTATTATTATTATTATTGCGTTTGAATATATATTTTTAAAAGGTAACCGTTTTTCTCCAGTACTATACCTGATTTAATATTTATGTATATTAATATTTATATATATACTTATGTATATATTGTTTGGGCCATGCATTGCATTGAAACGTAATTGCGCCTTAGTCGAAGCGGGCTATAAACTAAACTATCTCCGATTTATGTTGCTCTTAGCCAGGAATTTGAAATTGGGCGGCACAGGTCCTGCTGGCTGGACAGAGGCGGATGTGAGTATTGATTGCATAGGTTGACTGTCCTTTGCATTAATGCAATAAGTGCAGCTGCTGTAAATTTAACTTGATTATGTGTTTATTAGCAAACAATTAACACCAGTGCAACAGCAGGCGAGCAATGACATTGTAATAGCATTTCTACCTGCACATGCAAGAATTTGAGTTCGAGATAGGTTGGCAATGTTTGATATTGCTTTTGCCAGCTAGCTCGATTGTTGCCTGCTGACTGAATTTCTTATTGTTTGCCTAATAATGCAAGCGCAATTAACCCCGAAGATACCAGCTCACATTGGCAAAGGGCTCGCCGCAAAGCTAAGTGACAGTTGTTGCCTCAGACTGTTTATTTGTTATACCATATATAATGCTGATGATTACTGTTATCTTTATATTCAGAAACATTCATTTATTAAAAGCTGTAGATTGTTGGAATAGGCGTATAACACTAAGTTGCCATAAATTATTTATGTGTGGTAATAAATAACTTATTTTAAAGTTGTTTAAGAGAAAATACTATATGACCATTTGTTAAATCATTTTTAAAAATTGATTTCAATATTCAAGGGCTTAACTAGAAAGGGTTTTATCAATTACTATAATTGTTGACCATTATGTAGCAAACCTCCTAGCCTATTTAACGCGACAGTTTTATCTTTTTGTCCATACTATTTGCATTCTTATTGGTCAGCCTGATGACCCTGATGGTCGTAAGGCGCAAATAAGTGGCACTTATTAAACCAGCAACACATTCACATACAAATATTTTGTAAACCTCAGCAAACACAGTTACACTCCGGCGCACTTAAATTTATTTAAAGTTCATGACCCATTCACCAATAATATGTAATTATATACATATATATATATATATATATATATATATATATATATATATATATTTATTTAAGTATATGCAAAACTTACTTTAGTCACGGTCTACATACCGTATAGTCATTAAATATTTGTGGACGGAGAAGCATATAATAAAATCAATGGCAACGACCGTTCGCAACAAATGGGTTTGAAATTCAAGCAACGAATTGGCAAAATTACATTAAATTTTCAGGCCGGCCAATTGGTCAAGTAATTAAAGTTATGGCCTTTAAAGCCAACGTAACACAAATGAGTCTCAGGATGTATATATGTGTGTTCATAAGATGCGGTAATGGGAGAGGCTCTGGGCCTAACCACGTTTCAGTTGTCAACGCTGCAATTTGACACAAACACTGACAAATACCCAAAAGAAGAAACCGCAAATCGTGTCCCTGTGTCTGACATATGATTTACAAATACATGCATACATCTATGTATTCACTTTGTGCTTTTCGCCCAAAAGCTTGAAATGCCATTCGCATTTTAGCTTTGTAGCGTTTTGGACGAGTTTGCAGTATAAAATAAGTAAGAAGATTCAAGTCGGGAGTGCTCGACTAGGAGATATTCTAAAGCAAGCAAAAATCATAGAGTTTTTGTAATCATGGTGGGAACCAGAGCAGGTATCCAAAAAGTTAAATAGTTTGGATTTGTAAACAAAAGCCCCATAACCTTTTTGAGGTTTCAAGCTCCTGTAAGGTACGTCCAGCGGGGGCACTAACTGCGTTAATACGTACTTATATCATTACATTAGCTATAATAGTTCCGGAGATCGATCCCTCTAGACATACAAGCAGACAGATAGACGGGAATGTCTACGTTAATTTGATTGTTCTTGGTGATCAAGAATATATGTTTTTTTTGGGGTCGAAGAATCCTTCTTTTGTCAATTACATTCATTTCATGTAATCTCAATGGTTATTGACATTTGTAGTGGGTTCAGGTTATAAATTGGGCGATACCCAAGTCACAAATTCGTAAAACTTTTCCAACATCCTATGGGTTCCGGGGTTTGCTCTAACACTCTTTTATTCTTTAAAGTAAGCTTATTGAGTGGGTCCTTGTCAATATTTTTGTTTGTTTATGGTAGTTATTTTAATTCCTTTCACATACGATTTAAAGCCACAGGCTTAGAAAATTGTTGCTGTTGTGTGTGTGCGCTTGTCTGTATGTCATGTATATTTGTTTAAACTAATGGTGTTAGGATCTGAACATTTTGGCTGACTACATGCACCCGTTGATCCAAAGGATTTAATGACTTTTTGTGCATTAAACTGACAGTGTTTTTCATGGACCTGTCATTGCGTGGGTACCGGGTGGGGAGTCGGTTAACTGACACGAAGACCATACATTTGGTACATATTTTATGGATGAATTTTTAAGTATATAAATATAAGTCTACTTTCTTTTAAATTTGAGTGGATCAGAGTCCTTTGCAGTTCGTCTGTGGCATTATTAAATATATTATCGGCATAAGGACGGTATAAAACTTAGACAAAAATACATACATCCACGTCTGCAGAATGCCGACAATTGTCAGCCAGCAAATGCCTTAAGTGTCCAGTGTGAGTTCTAGTTGCAGTTGCAGTTGCAGCTTGCGCCAGTTGAATGAAAAATTCAGTTTCACATTTTACTGTTTACGTTGTCGCAGGCAGTGTGGGCAGATTAAGGGAAACACAAGTTGGTCAGGATGTTGGTCAACTGCCAGAGCGCTGGGCCGACTGTGTGCAACTATGCGGACTGTTTGCTGAGCGCCAGCATAAGCAATTGTAACAGTTGGCCCTACGAACCTTGAGAACTGACCTTTTTCGCTCGCTTCCGTTTACGCTTCTGTCTCTGTCACCGTATCCGTTCTTTGCTCGGCGCCTCATATAGCAACGGTAATTACAAAACAAAAGTGCACACAATGGCAGGAAATCAGCCAGCCAAATGAGCTATACAAATAAATATGCTCTGATTACACGCACACCGCAGTAATCGTTGAATGTGTGGATGCTTCGTTGATTATCATGAAAGGAATCAGAAATCGAATGGTTTCCACATGCAATTAACATAAATTCTTCTATTTTATTTTTAATTTTTCGTATATTTATAGATAGGATTGTAGTTTTCTTTTTAATAGGAAATTTATTTGACCTCAGGCTACATTCTAATCGGCCGGTTAATTTCTTACATTTGTTAATTATGTATAATTAAAACAAAAAAGCAGAAAAAATTGTACAAAATTCTTATTAGGTTTTGGGTATTACTCTTATTTCTTATTTATTTTTGTGACGAGGATTTACCCTGTATTTTTAAAGCGTTGAGCTACTCGTCTTTTCGCCTCTGTGTCATTTCCCGTTAAGACAATCGTTTTATTTGGTTCGTCTGAATTTTTCATACACAACACATATATATTTAAATATAATCCAAGCTATTATAGAAAATATACCACATACGCCATGTTATGACAGCTCAAACTGCACACACAAATAGGCCAAAGCCAACCACAACACAGTTAATTTTTTTGTGGTCAACACAGTCAAAAGCGTTTGATTCATAAATAATTGATAGAACACACAAGCTCATGCAATGCCAAGCAAACGATAAGTGTTGATGAGTGGACGCGGCACACAACATAGATTTCCGCAGGCTATACACTCCGAGTCAAGTACAGATCCGCATAAGATCATACTGCGAGCTGAGCCCCATCAAAGTCGTCCCCGCAGGCGTTGTTGTCAAATTGATTCATTCAAGCGTATTCCTTGTATAATTTGGGCCATAACCGAAATTATAACGTTAAGGTGGAAGGGAAACTTTCGCCTGCGGCGAAACTTTGGTTTCGCACAATGTAGCACAATACGAAGGTTAGTTGAAAGGCAGAGCGGGCGAAGGACGTCGTGTGATTGGCACTCACGCATTTCCGCTTCCGGTCGTAATCAATTTATGTTCGCTTTTTATGAAGCTTTGTTGTTGTTTAGCCTTCGTTTTTAATTGATGAATAAATTTAATTGAACCTAATGGATTTTGTTGTGTTCCACTGTGTGGGACGTAAGACCCATTAGGCTGCACACAAAAACTAACGCCCACGGCGCAAGTACATTTAACCCTTGCCCCAAACACGCAATCTCTTCGAGTTTTATTTGTTACAAGTGCCAACTGCCATCGCGTTTTAATTGAATTTCAATTGATTGCAAAAATGTTCCATTTCATACCACAGCCAAATTTCATTTTAATTAATTAAAATTGATAACAATAACGGTTTTGCTTGAATAATAACTGCGCTAATGGAATTTGTATTCCTTCATAGCAGCTCTAATATATATTCTTGGGTATCAAGCTTTTAAATCTACACATTAAAATTGAAGAAATGTTATTTATATTGTTATAGGCTTTTGGAAATCCTTAG